TTTCACCTCTTCCCAACCAACCACCTGGTGGTCATCCTTCCTTCTACCTTTTGCTCTTTCCAGTGAACCACCAAATTTTCCATATGTGAGTCCTTGAGAACAGGGATTTTGTCTTATTTGCTCCTCAACCCCAGTTGAAAACAACCCCCAGCACATAGCAGGCACTCCTTACATATTTGTTATATAAATGAATAGTGCATACTTACCACTCCATAACCATCTGCTAAATGAAGGACTGGATGATTTAAGCTGCATTCTCAGAAAACAGGAAGAACATACAAATAATTCTACTTTACTTAAATGTTTCTAATAATTTCTTCTGATAAACAAGAATATTAAATCATATGATGCAGTTTTGTTTACTATCAGAACAAGACATTATGTGTTTTGTCAGAACGTTCAAATGTTAGTCGTCTGGCTGTTGAGTTTCGTAGTTAAACAAGCAGTTTTTCAGTCTTCAGACTGTATAAAAATCTGTAAAAACCCTCTATTCAAGTTGTACCTAGCAAGGGCTCTTGTGAAATGTGTGTTGAGAAAATTGGAAACAGCTTAGCAACTCAAAATAATAATATTTCATAAAATCCTGTGGGGTAAAAAGCCAATCCAGTGGGGCCACTCACTGGGTGTGTTAGGCAATTTCCTAACACATTTTTGGAAAACTTTTTCAGATCTTCTATATGCTATTTGGTGGAGAGGAGTAACTTGTTAAATATTGCCCAAGACTTTTGAGTGGTTACTCAAAAGCTCACTTTTCATTTAAAACGTTTTTGTTTGAGTTGTTTGTAGCAGAATAGGGTTCTAAGGATGTGCATTCTTGCTAGAAAGTATGTGGGCTTGCCTTTTACTTTGTATCAAGTCTGTAATCAAATCAACTTGCATTGCTTTGCTTTATAAAAATAGCAAAAAAATGTGCTACAAATAACACAAATAAATAAAAGGAAAGTACATTCATGTCTGCATCTGTATTTGACTTGAAAAATAAAAGGCTTCATGAAATAAAAATATTTTGAGGCTTTTGTATTTTTATCACTACTTATTCTGTACTGGGCAGATCTGAACACTACATGTTTTCTTCAATTAGAAGTCATCCAGCAGGCGGACTTATTTTCAGAGCAAAGTCTTAGCTTACACAAATTAAGCCATATAGTTCATACATCTTGTTCAAGATGACTGAGAGCAAACCTCTAAATTTCTTTTTCTCCAGGTCAATATTGGCAGTTCTAAACTACCACTTTTTTTTGTCCTGTGTTGAGATTTATTCAAACTGCCAACCATGAAAAGAAAAATAGGATCATTCCCAGGAAGAAGAGAAGGGTATGTGCAGGTAGCGGTGGTTATCTACCACAAATTATAAGGTTACTGAATGGTATTTGCTTTATATATGCAATCATGTGCCATTTTTATACACATCTACATAGAACTATCCCTACACATCTACTCTTTGTATAAGATAAATTCATCTCTTCTTTTGTGGGCTGAATGCTATAGGTCTACCTTTAATTTATACTATTAAGTGCCTGCAAGAGATGATTTTTAAATAAGTAGTTTTGCATACAGTGCCATCATTTGATGCCAACTTTGAATGTTATTAAGTTAAATGTATGCAGAAATCTTTTTGTCTCCTTTTAAGAAGTGTACACTATGTTTTATGACAGTGAAGTCCTCAGTCTTCTCTAACAGGCCCAGATTCAAAGGGGTTCAGATCACAGCTCAGTCAAGTCCCACCTCTATAATCTTGAGCAAATCACTTCATCTATTAGTTCCATCATCTATAAAATGGGAAATGCCTAGTCCATTCAGGCTGCTAGAACAGAATACCACAGACTGGGTGGCTTAAATAAGAAACAATTATTTCTCACAATTCTCTCGGGTTCAAGTGATTCTCCTGCCTCAGCCTCCTGACTAGCTGAGATTACAGGGATGTGCCACAATACTCGGTTAATTTTTGCATTTTTAGAAGAGACGGGGTTTTTCCATGTTGGCCAGCTGGTCTCGAACTGCCTGCCTCAGCCTCCCAAAGTTCTGAGATTACAGGTGTGAGCCACTGCACCCACCCATAACCTCACCTACACCTAATTATCTCCCAAAGTCTCCACCTCCTGATACCATCCTCTTGGGGTTAGGGTTTCAGCATATAAATTTGGGGGTGGGAGATGCAAACATGCAGTTCATCACAGGAAGAGTAAGTATAATCCTCACAGTGATGCTGGGAGGAGTAAATAAGATCATGTATCTAAAGTGCTTAGCACAGTGCTTAGTACATAATAAATACTCAGCAAGTTACATACTATTATGACAACACTGTTATTATTAAACACTAGTAGGAAAACACCATTATTTGGATTGCAAAGTCTGGCCATCATTTCTTTAGTTTGTTTTCTTTTATTCTGTTACTACCTTAAGCATACTCACCAGAGTGCAGCATGGTTTAAAATTAATTGATTTTTTAATTCTACAAATCTTTAATCGAAACACCATTTCCACAGATCCTACCAGCCTCTAACATTTAGCTCTCCCATCTTCACAATTTCAGCATTTTTTTTCTGAGCTTAATATTCATCACACATACTGATGCAATCACTTGTATATGTATACATGTATTCCTATTGCTTGTGTTCCATTTCCAGCCAATGTTTGCCTGTTTTCACAGATAGATTATCACTAGAGAAGTGGAACCAGGATAATAGCCAGGTCTACTTGATCCTACAATAGCCATCTTCTAACTGTGGAATGTGTTTCCTTAGAGGTGTACAAGGGCTTTCCAAGGGTACATTACAGGCAGCGATAGTTTTAAAGGAATCAATTTCCACACGCTTACATTCCCTCTTTTCTATAATTGTCTATCTGAGGGCACATGCAGGGTAAAGTCATTAAGTATTTCCTTTCTTACCTCCCTTTTGACAATGTTCCTTTATTTCAACTAAAAAAAAAAAGGCATTTTGCAAACATTTCGAACCTGCTATGGCACATGCTCCTGGGGTATAAAACATCTGGAGTTTCAAACACATAGACAATTCAAAATAGCTTCCATTTTGCTATCCCGCCTCCTCATTCTCCAAACGTTGTCAGAGAAGACATTGTTCTTGAAGGAAAATCCTTGAAGGACAAAGTTAAAAGAGCACAAATAAACCCTGAAAACAGAGGACCCGAGGCTCATTTCTCTCAGGCAACAAACTTATATTATTTTGTCTGTCTGTCTACCTAAATATGTATCATAAAATTCCAAGTGAAAAGTGGAATTCTAAACTTCCAGTTCCAGTTAAAAATGGAGTAAAAACATCCCACCTTACTCTCCCCTGTGATTGTAACTACAAATTGTTGACAGAATACACAAAGCAACTGTCTGTGGTATCCAAACAGTAAAGACCAGTAAGCAGACTAGGAAGGGAAATAGCAACTTAAAGAATAATAAGGAGGTGAGCTTTCTGGTGATTTTCTTTTTCTACTCATATTTCACAGCATAGTATAAGTGAGCAACATCATGGAACTGTGCAGCAGGCTTGACCTAGAGAAACTCTCTCCTTGGTCAGAGGAATAAGCAGGAGGGGCCCTGCATCTCCGCTCCTGACTCTCCTGTGGAGGGGCCCTAGAAGCTGCACTCATGGAAGCTGCATTCATGCAACAGTGGCAGCAGCAGCCAAGGTTGCCTATTTGCCCCAGAGTTGGCTACAACAGTGCAAAGAACTAGAACTTTTCCAACAGAGGACCAGGGCAAAGGGTCCCTGGAAATCAGAGAGTTTCAGGGAGATCACAGAGAAGAGGGAGCTTGAGAAGATGATCCTACAGAGCTATGTATAAAGTCCTGGGTTTATCCCTCAGGTCTTCATGCATGAAAATGATTTGAAATAGAATACTAAAAGCTTTGAGAAGTAAGCAACAATGTAATCCATGGCCCAGGTATCAGACTGATCCCGGGGAAAAACACTCATGGGGAGGATCCATAGAGCACTACAAAGGCTTTCGAAAATGAACTGACATTGGAAATAAAGCCCTTAGAAGGCATAATGCAACTTGTAACCTGAACTTAACTGGGTCAATGGACTGTGAAAAGAAACAAACACACAAATGAAATCAGCATTTTCCGGAGAATTCTAACAGAACCCAGAATATCATAATATTTTTTAAATGCCCAGGATGTAAGTTAAAATTAATTAACAAACAAAGAAGCAAGGCATTCTCAGCAACTCCTAAGTGAAAAAGATAATTAATAGGCACCACCCTTGAAGTGACCTAGATGTTGAAATTATTTGACAAAGCCTTACTTCAAGCAGTGGTAATAACCATGCTCCATGAAGTAAGGACCAACAAATTTGAAGTGAATGGAAGGACAGAAGTCCTCAGCAAAGAAATAGCAGCCATAAGAAAGAATCAAATGGAAGCTCAGAACAGAAAAATAAAATAACTAAAATATTTTTAAAAGCCACTGAAATTGCAGAGTGAAGATGACAAGATAGAGTAAGTGAACATACGGGTAAATTAATAGATATTATCTAACATGAATAAAACAGAAAAAAAGTTTTCAAAAATGAACTTAACTTCAGATACCTGTTGTATATTATCAAAAGGTCTAACACTGATGTCATGAAAAATCTAAGAAGGAAAGGAAGGAGAATGAGATGTTTGAATTGAGGTTTTATGTAAATAACAATAGGCAAATCCTGTCCTGAATTTACTTGATCATTTAGATAGCAAAAAAAAAAAAAAAAAACTGTTTTCAGGATAGTACAGTTGTTTTTGTACAACTTCCTAGAATCAAATATCAGAATTGGTTGTTCTCAAAGGGCGCAGGGCGGTGATCTTGCCCCCCTCCCTGGAAAGATTTGGCAAGATCTGGAGGCATTTGGTCCTCACGACTGGGGAAGGTGGGTGCTTCTGGCATCTGTTTAGTGGGTGCAGGCAGAGGACGCTGCTAAACATCCTGCAGCGCACGACAGTCCCCAGTGCCCAAAGAACTAGGATGTAAATGTCAGTGGTGCCTTGACTGAGAAACCCTGGCGTAGATGGTTTCGGGTATGGAGCGTGCTGGAGGGTTGGGATTTGCTGGGGCCTTTACACAGTCCAACCTTGACAGAATTCCTACTACGGGATCATATTCTCATAGACACGATCTCCGTGGCTTCGGAGGTAATGGAGATAAGAACCCCTTTCCTTTGGGGGAGCAAGGCGGGCCTTACATAATTGAAATAACTGGCGGACGTCCAGGTGCCAGGGCCGCCTGCCCACAGACCCTGCCTCTTCGGCCCTCCAGCCGGCTGGAGACAAGGCCGGGCCTGCTTGCAAGCGGCCCTGCCGCCCGTCAGGCAGGGCACGGGGATCCAGGATCTGGCCGGGCCGCACACTCCAGGCCAGCGGCCCCGCGGTGCCCACGCCCCACTACCGCTTCTCACGCTGTCTCTGCCTTTCTGTCCGTGTCTCCCCAGGTAAAGATGAGCCTTCCAGCTACATTTGCACAACATGCAAGCAGCCCTTCAACAGCGCGTGGTTCCTGCTGCAGCACGCGCAGAACACGCATGGCTTCCGCATCTACCTGGAGCCCGGGCCGGCCAGCAGCTCGCTCACGCCGCGGCTCACCATCCCGCCGCCGCTCGGGCCCGAGGCCGTGGCGCAGTCCCCGCTCATGAATTTCCTGGGCGACAGCAACCCCTTCAACCTGCTGCGCATGACGGGCCCCATCCTGCGGGACCACCCGGGCTTCGGCGAGGGCCGCCTGCCGGGAACGCCGCCGCTCTTCAGCCCCCCGCCGCGCCACCACCTGGACCCGCACCGCCTCAGTGCCGAGGAGATGGGGCTCGTCGCCCAGCACCCCAGTGCCTTCGACCGAGTCATGCGCCTGAACCCCATGGCCATCGACTCGCCCGCCATGGACTTCTCGCGGCGGCTCCGCGAGCTGGCGGGCAACAGCTCCACGCCGCCGCCCGTGTCCCCGGGCCGCGGCAACCCTATGCACCGGCTCCTGAACCCCTTCCAGCCCAGCCCCAAGTCCCCGTTCCTGAGCACGCCGCCGCTGCCGCCCATGCCCCCCGGCGGCACGCCGCCCCCGCAGCCGCCGGCCAAGAGCAAGTCGTGCGAGTTCTGCGGGAAGACCTTCAAGTTCCAGAGCAATCTCATCGTGCACCGGCGCAGCCACACGGGCGAGAAGCCCTACAAGTGCCAGCTGTGCGACCACGCGTGCTCGCAGGCCAGCAAGCTCAAGCGCCACATGAAGACGCACATGCACAAGGCCGGCTCGCTGGCCGGCCGCTCCGACGACGGGCTCTCGGCCGCCAGCTCCCCCGAGCCCGGCACCAGCGAGCTGGCGGGCGAGGGCCTCAAGGCCGCCGACGGCGACTTCCGCCACCACGAAAGCGACCCGTCGCTGGGCCACGAGCCGGAGGAGGAGGACGAGGAGGAGGAGGAGGAGGAGGAGGAGCTGCTGCTGGAGAACGAGAGCCGGCCCGAGTCGAGCTTCAGCATGGACTCGGAGCTGAGCCGCAACCGCGAGAACGGCGGCGGCGGGGTGGCCGGGGTGCCGGGCGCGGGGGGCGGCGCGGCCAAGGCGCTGGCGGATGAGAAGGCGCTGGTGCTGGGCAAGGTCATGGAGAACGTGGGCCTGGGCGCGCTGCCGCAGTACAGCGAGCTCCTGGCCGACAAGCAGAAGCGCGGCGCCTTCCTGAAGCGTGCGGCGGGCGGCGGGGACGCGGGCGACGACGACGNTTTGTATAGAAGAAAAGTTTGAATATTTAATGGCTAAAGTTTCCTAAATCAAATGAAAGATATCAATTTAGAGTCAACAATCTCAGAAGAACCCAAATAAGATAAACTAAGAAAAGAAAATCAAAATAATCAACCAAGTGGAATTTATTCAGGAACACAAGGCTAATTTAACAAATTAAAGAAAAACTACATGATCATGCCAACTCATGCAGAAAAAACATTTTCAACATCTCCCAGGAAACCAGGAAGAAAGATGTAGTTTATGGGATTACCTGATTAGGTCAACTGAGGATATTCTGCCTTTCTTAAAGTCGGCTGTGCCAAATAACATAATCTAATTATAGAAGTGACTGCAACATTGTGTTCAGTTCATACCCACATTCAGAGGTGAGGGGATTATACAAGGTGAGTGCACCAGGGAACTGGAACTCTGGGAACCATCTTAGAACCATGTTTGCCATAACGGTCAATAAACAATGGGAACCCAGTGTTTTAAAATCAGTACCTTTTACAACAGCTCTCAAAGTATCTAACAAAATATGTGCAAGACCTATATAAGCAAATTATAAATGCTGATAAAATAATCAAGAAATACCTAAATAAATGATGCAGCAAGTTTGTGGTTTGAAAGACTCAATACGTTTAAGATGCCAAGTCTCCTCAAATTGACCCACAGATTTAATACAAATCCAATCAAGATCTTTGGAACAATTTTTTTTTTTTTGTAGGCATAGACAAGCTGGTTCTAACACTTACAAAGAAAGGCAAAGAACTACAACTGAAAAATACATTTTGAGACATAACACAGTTGAAAAACTCACACTATTAGATGTTAAGACTTAATATCAAACCATACTAATTAAAACAATGTGGTTTGGTTAAGGAATGGGCACATAAATTAATGAAACAGAATAAAGAGTCCAGAAATAGACCCACAAGTATCAGATCAATTAATTTTTGATAGAGATGCAAAAGCAATTTAACAGGGGAGATATAGGCCTTTCAAAAATTTATCTGGGACAAATGGACATCTATTTGCAAAAAGTGAAAACAAACCACTTGACCTATACCTTATACCTTAGGTAAAAATTAACTCAATATATGTCATATAAAACGAAAACTGAAAATATCTTGGGAGAAATTATGAAGGAAAATCTTTATACACTTGAGATAGGTAAATAGTTCTTATATGATACAAAGTGTGTTGCATTTAAAAATTGATAAATTAGATCTCACCGAAATTAAAAACATTTATTCTGTGAAATGCACTGTGAAGGGAATGAAAAGAGAAGGTACGGAGAGTGGGAAACTATTTCCAAATCACATATTGAACAAAAGACTTGTACCCAGAATATATAAAGAACTCTCAAAATTCAACAGTAAGAAATCAAACAACCCCTCACCCCCACCATAAAATGAGCAAAAGGTATGAACAGACACTTCGCAAAGGAGATATTCTGCTGGCAAGTAAGCATATTGAAAGATGTTCGTCATTAGGCAAATTTAACCACAGTGAGTTGCTTCTACACACCTATTAGAATGGTCGAAACAAAAACAACAAAATCAATCTCACAATACCAAGCACTGGTGAAGATGTGAAGCAACTGGAAGTTGCACACCTTGTTGCTGATGGGAATGCAAAATGATATGGCCACTTTGGAAAAACAGTTGACAGATACCAATCTAGGTATTTATCTTAGAGAAATTTGCTTATGAATATTGTAAGTGACCATGGAATATTATGCAGCCACAAAAAAGGATGAGTTCATGTCCTTTGCAGGGACATGGGTGAAACTGGAAATCATCATTCTCAGCAAACTGACGCTGGAACAGAAAACCAAACACCACATGTTCTCACGCATAAGTGGGAGTTGAACAATGAGAACACATGGATACAGGGAGGGGAACATCACACATTGGGGGCTGTTGGCAGGTGGGTACTAGGTTTTTTAATGCTTACTGGCATTAAATTATTTGAACAGCTTCAAATAATTTAGGGATAGTATTAGGAGAAATACCTAATGTATGTGACAGGTTGATAGATGCAGCAAACCACCATGGCATGTGTATACCTATGTAACAAACCTGTATGCTCTGCACATGCATCCTGGAACTTAAAGTATAAGAAGAAAAACTGTAAGTGAATGTTTATTGCAGGAATTTTCATAATTACCAAAAAACTAGAAACAATCAAATTCCATTCAATGACTGAATAAACAAATTGAGGTACTGCCATGCAATGGAATACTAGCAAGCATTCAAAACAACTAACCACTGATACATGTAACAACATGGATGAATATTAAAGGCATTATCCTAAGTGAAAGAAGCAGGTCTCAAAAGGGAATATACTGTATGATTCCAGGTATGACATTCTAGAAAAGCCAAACCAGAGATGCAGAGAACAAACACATCAGTGGTTTCCAGAGGTTTGGAGTGTGGTTTTGGCCATAAAGGACAAGATGAAGACGATATATTTAGGGTGATAGAACTGTTCAGTAATCTAATTTTGAAGTGGTTACAAATATCTATGCATGTGTAAAACTCAGAACTGTATACACACAGTAAATTTGATGGTATGGAAATTTAAACATAAAAAATAAAGTCATTTCTTTATTTATTTCAGAAAGTAACTCTGATTTGATGAATAAGTTTGACATTGAAGATTGGCATTACCAGTTAGATAAATTTTACACAAATTGGATGAACAAAACTGACAACTCCAAGTTTTAATAAATGTATATTTAATGCATGTAATACAGTAAAAAGTAATTCATAAAAATATTATATTTGAAAAAAGTAATTGAAATTAAACAATATTTCCATTTTAAAAAAATTTTTCTGAATATATAGAGCTAAACAAAGTGCCTCAAAGTGAAAGAGTAATAAACAGATATTTGATAAATCCTGGTAATATTCTCAGAAGTAGAGGATATAAATGGCTTTACTGACTGGGTAACAAATTGATTTGCAAGTAAGGTACTTTCCAAGTCCGTGCTTCCAAAAATGGAAGAAGAATCTAATCAAGTTTTCATCTAATCATTAAAAATAATCTTAATGATAAATCATTACTGTGTGCTTTGTGACATTACACTGGGAAGCTGTTCAAATAATTGAATGCCATTATTCAATAAAACTCTTTCTATGCCTGTGTATTTAACGATGCGAATAAGTTTTCAAAGCACTACCATCTAGAAGAAAAAAGTAGAGACAGAATTGATGCCAAACTCTGATACAGTCTACACAAGCCAGGGTTCAAAGAAAACAAACTTCAACTAATACATTAAGATAGGGATTTCTAATATATGTCACATTTAAGGTTAGTAATTATTCATAAACATTTATAATAGAAAGTACAAATTTTTGATAAATTAATCAGAAAATACACTGTTGGCACTCACAGGAAAGTTTTTTAAAGTAATAATTTCCATTTCATGGACAGTTTTGTTCTAGAGTTGCATGGTAGGGTGATAAAAATAATCTAAGCGTTTAAAAGATATTACACTGTGATGAAATTCTGTAGGCGAAAGGAAATAGAAATGAGTTCAGAGAGAAAAAGGAGTAAAGTAAAATTTGCTGAAGGTTACAAGAGAAGCCTGTAATTTTTTAATGTTTGGTGACTGTCAAGTCAGATGAATTTAAGTTTCACTGAACACATGAAACTTAAATTAAAATTAAATTTAAAAGAGTTATATGTCAATTATCATAATATTCTTTAAATTCTACTACCTGACACTATTTACATTCACTGTTAAAAGTTTTTAGCTATTAAGTTAACATTATACAAGGGCTGTGTACTGTTTCAAAATCCTTTGAGGGTACACAAGCAAAAATATTTGGAAGGTCACATCTCTAAAACACTATGTTGCACTGCATCCTCGATAAGAACTTAATTTTTTCTTTAAACGTTTGCAGGGTTTCAGGCACAAAATTAACATATGGCTAGAGCAGATGAGAATGGACACTTCAGATTACTTCCCAATTGCTGAGCTCAATGGAATTACAGTTATGAAGATCACAATGCTATTTGGCAGAACAAAAGTCACAATTTCAAAAGAGATTCACAGAGTTTCATATGATGATTCTGAATCATGAATTAGTTTCAGTGGGTAGCCCAGAGTTTAAACTCTAGGATGTCTGAATTACTGGACAACTGCCACATCACTGTTGCTCAATTCCAAAAAGAACTGATTGAGCTTAAGGAACAATGTTCACCTGAAAGACATAGATAGTATTCTTTCCCAGGAATTTTGGGAAACAAGCATGAAATTTAGAACTAAGCTAGTATTTCTGCTACATAAAAGAAAAAAAGTAAACCCAGCATTTTTTTTTTCATTTACCTGGCTCTGTAAAGATCTATCAGCTATGATTAAATTGACCATGATGGAGTGTATAAAGCTGAATACTGAATTAAAATAGATGATGTTTTGAATTGCAAATAAGCTGCATCCTTGTTAGAGTAATCAACTGATTATTGACTAAAATGGGCTCAGGGATATGCACTTATGATCATATATATTAAATAATATCAGACTTTTGACTTGCTGCTAAAAATTCCTATACTTTACTATAATCTGTAAAACCACAAATATGGATTTTGACTGTGATTCTGAAATGTGATCTGATTTCTGATTCAGAGGCATAATATTTGACAAAATGCAGATGGCCTTGGTCTCCAGCCACTGAACAAAATAATATTCTGTAAGAAGCACAAGGATCAACCTACGATCTTGAGTTTCTGAGCCATCAACCTGTAAGCCAAGCAGCTAGCTTGGCAAGAGAGTGAGAAGAATGAATGCAGATGAGGAAAGAAAACCTCTACATTTCTGTTTCAGGGACACGACACCACTTCGAGCAAAGCAATATTTGGCAGAGAATAGAAACCTAATCTCAAATGATTTATAAACAAGAATTGCTGAGCCCAAAGAGAACAGGTAGCATTTAGGCTCAACAAGAAATCTATTTTATCTGGCACTGCTTCTTTATCCTGGGTATGTGGCATAGCAAAGTCAAAACAAGCCT